AGTACTCACGGGTATGATCAGTGTGCAATCAACTATTAAATTCGATGCACACTATTGACATATAATTTTATAAATGTAAAATATTTTTAAAAACCTCGTTTAAAGTTCATATTTCTAAAATTTAAGGGTCGATATAATTGCCTTCTCAGCAAATATTACCTAACAATTCTACCAATTGGTTATATTATGCTTTTGTTTCTAAATTTAACCACAAAATGGTCTTCTGCCGTATTAAAACATAGAGCGGGGCTTAACGGGAAATAATGAATTCCTACAACTTTTGGCACCTTGTCCGTGATATACCTATATATCTTCATTATAGATGGGTTTTTTTAAAGATAATTTGATTTTGATGCATATCTTTGGCGTTTTGAAGCTAATGTCCACTAACGCTTATCCGTTAATGCAGATATGGCCATGAAAGTGTGCCATCGATGAAGTAGGTCACCGTGACCTTATTTTTGAAATTATTATATAATTCTCAAAACATTGAAGGTCATTATTTCAGATGAGAGGAAATTTACAATTTGATGCATTTTAATGCTGAAAATAAATTTGAATTATGCAGGCATCCTTTTTAGCTCACCTGAGCCGAAGGCTCAAGTGAGCTATTCTGATGAAAATTTTTCCGTCGTCTGTCGTTGTCGTAAACTTTTTCATCTTCTCAAAAACCACTGAGCCAATTTCAACCACACTTGGCACAAAGAGTCCTCGGGTAAAAGGAATTCAAGTTTGTTCGAATGAATGGCCATGCCCTTTTCCAAGGGAAGATTATAATGAATTAGAAAAAAATTAATGGCGTTTTAAAAAAATCTTCTTCTCAATAACCACTGGGCCAGGAAAGATGAAACTCATGTGGAATCATCCTAAGTTTGTTCAAATCATGACCTCCGGGGGTAGGATGGGGCCAAAATGGCCGATCAAAGTTTTACATAGGAATATATTGGGAAAATCTTTAAATATCTTCTTCTCAAGAACCACTGGGCCAGGAAAGATGAAATTCATGTGGCATCATCCTCAGATATTGTAGATTCAAGTTTGTTCAAATCATCACCTCTGGGGGTAGGGTGGGGCAAAAATGGCCAATCAAATTTTTACATAGGAATATATAGAAAAAATCTTCTTCTCAAGAAACACTGGGCCAGACAAGATGGAATTCATCATTCTCAGGTAGTGTAGATTCAAGTTTTTTCAAATCATGACCCGCGGGGGTAGGACGGGGCCAAAATAGCCGATCATAGTTTTACATAGGAAAATATTTGGAAAATCTTTAAATATCTTCTTCTCAAGAATCACTAGGCCGGGATAAATGAAAGTCATGTGGCATCATCCTCAGGTATTGTGGATTCAAGTATGTTCAAATCATGACCCCCGGGGGTAGGGTGGGGCCAAAATGGCCGATCAAAGTTTTACATAGGAATATATAGAAAAAATCTTTAAAATTCTTCTTTTCGAGAACCACTGGGCAAGAAAAGATGAAACTCATGTGGCATCATCCTCAGGTAGTCTAAATTTAAGTTTAAGTCATGACCCCTGGGGGAAGGGTGGGGCAAAAATGGCCAATCAAATTTTTACATAGGAATATATAGAAAAAATCTTCTTCTCAAGAAACACTGGGCCAGACAAGATGGAATTCATCATTCTCAGGTAGTGTAGATTCAAGTTTTTTCAAATCATGACCCGCGGGGGTAGGACGGGGCCAAAATGGCCGATCAAAGTTTTACATAGGAAAATATTTGGAAAATCTTTAAATATCTTCTTCTCAAGAATCACTAGGCCGGGATAAATGAAAGTCATGTGGCATCATCCTCAGGTATTGTGGATTCAAGTTTGTTCAAATCATGATCCCCGGGGGAAGGGCGGGGCCAAAATGGCCGATCAAAGTTTTACATAGGAATATTTAGAAAAAATCTTTAAAATTCTTCTTTTCGACAACCACTGGGCAAGAAAAGATGAAACTCATGTGGCATCATCCTTAGGTAGTCTAAATTTAAGTTTAAGTCATGATCCCTGGGGGAAGGGTGGGGAAAAAATGGCCATTCAATTTTTTATATAGGAATTTATAGGAGAAATCTTCTTCTCAAGATCCATTGAGACAGGAAAGATGTGGAATCATCCCCAGGTAGTGTAGATTCAAGTTTGTTCAAATCATGACTCCCGGGGGTAGGTCGGGGCCAAATGGCCGATAACAGTTTTACATAGGAATATATGGAGAAACCTTTTAATATCTTCTTTTCAAGTACTTCAAAGCCATGCTAAGTGACATTTTTAGGGAATCATCCTCAGGTAGTTTAGATCCTATTTTGATCAAATCATGACCCCCTGGGGGTTAAAATTCAAGCCCCCCCCCCAGTAAACTGGTATCTGATATGTGCTTTTTCCTTGCCAATTCCTCAGGTGAGCGATGTGGCCCGTGGGCCTCTTGTTTAATAATTGTATACATGATATAGTTTGTACACTTAAAGATTGTTATGAGTTTTCAACGAACTTTGTCAAGTGATGCATCATAAAACATAAAAGTACTTATACCAAAAAGAAAGTTTGAATGGCTTTCGTTTTTACTTTTATGACTATACTCTAACATTGAATATACCTATTTGCCTAGAATAATTAATTTTTTTAAGTTTTTCAATTGATGCACCTCGGGTTTTTGAAATGTCATACCTGAAGAAATACTTTATTTTTCTAATTTTTTGACCATATTTTTAATACATTAACTTCGTGCCTGTGAATCATCAGTTAATCCGTCATGCGTGTGTTAAAAATTGATTGATTGATTGTATGTTGTTTAACGTCCCTCTCGATAATTTTTCGATCATATGGAGACGCCACCATTTGCCGTTGGAGGGCTACAAATTTTGTCCTATGCTCGGCACTCAGGGCCTTTGAGCACTGAGAGATCTTTTTCGTGCCACCACCTACTGTGACACAGGGGACTCGGTTTATACGGTCTCATCCGAAGGACCAGTCTCCACGACCCGCAGTGGGATTCGAACCCGCGAAGTGAGGATTGACTCCTTACTTCGCGACTCTAGAGCAGACGCTCTAACCACTGCGCCACGCGGGCTGTGTGTTAAAAATAAAAAATAGGTTATGATAACCTGTTTTGGGAATTTATTGTTATTTTCGATACTATAATCAAACTTTGTCAAATAATGCATCAAATATATTGCAAGGGATGCATCTGATTACAAAGTTGACTTAAAAATGAAGAAGAGCTTATGTCCGTTGAGATAAGCCTAAAGGGGAAAACCTTCCTATCCCAGGAGGTCCTAATTATTTGTTAGCTCAACTGATCTGAAAGCTCAAGTGAACTTTTGTGATCATCCATGGTCCGTCTGTAAACGTGTCAAGAACTAATAGGCCAATTTTAATCAAACTTGGTACAAAGCATTCTTGGGTGAAGGAAATTAATTTTTTTAATTTAAAATAAAAGTTCCCTTCCAAAAAAGATGATCAGAAAATACAAAAATAGAGTTGGTCATTAAAAAATCTTTCTTTTAAGAACCATTGGACCAGAAAAGCTGAAACTTATGTGGATGCATCCTGGGGTAGTGTGATTTTAAATCGTTCAAATAATATGATCCCGGGGGTAGGGCGGGGTCACAATAGGGCATCCAAGGTTTAGAAATATATATAAAAAAAACTTTTAAAATCTTTCTCTCAAGAACCACTGGGCAAGAAAAGCTGAATCTTGTATGATAGCATCTAGGGATTAGTGGATATTTGAAATAATGCAAATCATGACCCCCCGGGGCTAGGGCGGGTTCACAATAGGAAATCCAAAATTTACATAGAAATTTAGAGGAAACATCTTTAAAAATCTTCTTAAGAACCACTGGGCCAGATAAGTTGAAACTTATGTGAAAGCATCCTTGGGTAGTTAGTAAAGATAACAAATTGATCAAATCATATCCCAAGGGGTAGAACGGGGTCACAAAAAGGAATCTAAGTTTTGTATGGAAATATGGAGGAAACATCCCTAAAAATCTTATTTTCAAGAACCGGTGGGCCAAAAAAGCTGAAACCTATGTGGAAGCATCCTAGGGTACAATAAATTCTAAATTGTTAAAAGCATGACCCCAGGGGTAGGGCAAGATCACAATAGGGAATCCGAGTTTAACATAAAATTATATTGGAAAATGTTGAAAAAATTTTCTTGTCAAGAATCAGTGGGCCAGCCAGGAAAGCTGAAACTAGGGTGGAAGCATTCTGGGGTAGTGTAGATTCTAAATTATCAAAATCAAAACGGGAAGGGGAGGGTAGGGAGTCCACAATAGATAAAAGAAGAGGGGAAATCTGGTAAAGAACTGCATCACAAAAGTTACTCAGGTAAGCGATGTTGCCCGTGGGTCGCTTTCTTACAATTTATATTGTTTCACATTACTTCTAAACAGATAAGTGTTATGATTACTTTTAATGTCAATGTAAAATCATAATATGATCGAAAAATATTTTAATTAATTTTTAAACATAAAAGCATTTTAATTTCATATTAATAGTTTAAAAATCAGTTATGTGAAATTCACAGCATTCAATAAGCTTAAGTTTAACTGTGAACAACTACTGAGTAAATAAGAAATAATTGGAAGCTACATTTATTATTTCAACAGATCTGAATGAGAAAATTCCTTTGCCGGTCTTTATTTCTCTACGGAATGGTGTACTTTCTCCAGACGCATATAATCATGCCTCCAACGATAATATCCCTGTCATCTGTTTTAAGGTTTTGTCTTTTTTCATATTTTTTCGTATGTTATGATAAAATTATGCCATAGACTGTGGCACTGAAAAATAACTAAGCATAAAGGGTTAATAAGTTCTTTCTCAATTTAGAGAAAAACAGAAGACGTTTTCGTGTTTACAATCAAGGATCACAATACTCAGATCATCGAGCACAGACTAAATCTGAAAACGCCTTTGAAATTGGTGACATTAAAGAATCGCAATACTCAGATCTTCGAGCACAGACTAAATCTGAAAACGCCTTGGAAAGTCATTCAGTGGAAACGTTTCTGGAAAGCAGAGGAACTTAAAAAGGATGATGAAATAACAAAACTTTCTGACATTGGCCACAACCTTGAACATTTGGATGCTTTAGTTTGTCAACTATTGATTGGAGGTAATTGTGCACCGGGGACGAAAATGTCCAATTCATACAAACACTAAATTAGATATAAATAAGACCAAAACTAGTTTTGTGCAATTCGATTTAAACTAAATACCTTCTAAATTGTTAAACAAATCGCAGAATAGCGTGATGTACATTTTCCTAAAGAGTACTTGTGTTTATCTGTACATCATTTTTTTAAGGAATTTTTATTAAAATGAATACGAAAAATTAGTATAATTTAAATTTTCTTTCCATCAAATGAAACTAATATAACTTTGTATTACTGTCAAAATTGTGATTTCTAAAAATAATTACAAGGTATTTAACACTTTTCTTTAAGAAAAGCTTTAAGGAAATTCAAAGTACTATGATTGAAATTAATTAAGCTACGTCATAAGAATAAAATGTTAAAGGAACGAACATTAATCAAGTCGATTGATTGTATACTGTTTAACGTCCCTCTCCAGAATATTTTACTGACATGGAGACGTCACCATTGCCGCTGATGTGCTGCACATTTAGGCCAATGCTCGGCACTTACAGCCTTTGAGTCTTTATTGTGCCACACCTGCTGTGACACGGGACCTCGGTTTATACGGTCTCATCCGAGGTACCGTCCCGATTAGTCGCCTTTTACGACAAGCAAAGGGGTACTGAAGACCTATCCTAACCCGGATCCCGACGGGGGGTAATCAAGTCGAAAAGTCCACTAAAATAAAAATTTAGAGCAAGTTCAGTGGTTCTCAGAGGTCGTATCAGGTATCATGGGGAAGAAAGCTTCAATTACAAATAATTTTATTTTACTTGTTACACGTCATTTGATTGGATTTTATCTATTTGGTGTAACAAAGCTTGCCTACGTCACAATGAATTACGTCAAAAAACGTATTAATCCGCTTGACGTTACTTTTAAATTTAATCAATATGAAGCCTTATTCTTGGGGGAAATTGTCTCATTGTCTCACAGATATTAAATTATAAGGAATGAAGCTTATTTCAACTTATATTATCCGATGTAACAAAACTTGGAACAGTTTACGCTTTTTTTATAAACTGCTTCGCGGTTTATAATGCGTAAACTGCCCCAAGTTATGTTATATCGTATAATATGTTTAAATAAGCTTCATTCCTTAACATAAACCACAATTTGTCCTTATATATTTGGCAACATACGGCACATTTTTTTTTGCTGACAAAGGGATTCTTATTTTATTCTAAATTTAATTGTAGTAAGTTCATTGCACGGTTGTTACATGTGTAGTGGTTTAGATTTTTATTTCATAGCCATCGTTTCGTAATTCCTATTTTACAAGTATTTGCAGGTATATCAGTCTGATAATTCTATTTACCTTTTGTTTTCAGTTGTTACTTAGGTAAAAGCCCTTTATTATTTGTCTTTTGTAAGTTAGGACATGAGTTGACTTTCCACATGTTTTGCTTTCTAAACAGGAAATGTCATCCATGTTGGCAGTCTTTCCGTAGTACTTTTGATAGCTGCGTTCTGATTGGTTTATTTAGCTTTAGGATCTTTGATAGTCATTGGCTTTTATTTTGGGCCTAGCTAGGGTATTTAAACCCGTGTTCGAGCAGTTTTCTTCACTTGGGTTGGGGAACACAGCCTAATGGTTAGTTCCTCTTTTCTGTGCTAAGAAAACCTTATGGTTTATGAGCACTGTTTGAGTAGATACTTAGTGAGCTAAGAAAATCTTATTGTTTCACAAGTTCTCTAGGTTTTGGCTTTAGCTTTAGTTTCACGTTTTTCTCATGTTAGGAAACAGTTAGGATGTAGAGTATTCTAAGTAATTTAAGTTTCGATTCCCGGTCCAGCCATACATTTTCTCCTTTCCTGTTACAGATTTGGTGCCGTGCCATGCCCTGGAATTGACAGGTGAAAGACCTGCCAGGGATGAGCCTGGGTTGGGGTCTTTGGAGGGCCAAAGACCTTTAAGGAGGGAGGAATGTAATGGTTCGGGCCGTGGATATCGGCCTGGATAGCTCAATCGGTAGAGCACCTGACTAGTGATGCAGGGGTCCCGGGTTCGATTCCCGGTCCAGCCATGCATTTTCTCCTTTCCTGTTACACATGTATACCTCAGTGTCGCGGCATCAGTTTTTAAAGGGAGAAGCAAGATACTTGTTTTTTTTTTTTTGGCTTTGTTTTGTAGTTGACGTTCGGGGAACATACCCCGTGACCCAGGGAACTTGCATTTTACAATTTTGGAAAAGGCAGCCTAATTCAACAAACCATGAAATTGGGTAATATATTTAATGCCCAGGAGCAAGAAAGATGATTTTTGCAAAGATATAATGCATTTTCACTAATCTTTTTAGCCCGGCCCTAGCACTAGAATCCCTAATCCCAAGGGCCTAGTGTTTTACAATTTTTATAGTGGACTCAATGCTGATTACTAACATGTCAACAGCGTGATGTCTAAAAGTTAAGAAGAGGATTTTTGTAAGATAGTTTTAGTCCAACCCCTCAATTCCCAAGGAGGAGGGACCATAAAATTCACAAATATTGTTTCCCATTACCCATGGATACTTTCTTTTCAAATTGGTTAAGGGGTTGCAGAGAAGAAGCTAATAATGTTGAATTGGTGATGCACGACGACAGACAGAAACAGTTAGGAATATGTCAAAATTTGTATCTCTCCACCCAGCAAGTAGTGGCGTTTCCACATAAGTGACAAATTCTTAAGAGGGACTTTAAACCATCAAAAAACCGACGTGAAGCAAGGAATACCTTGACTGATGTAACCAAACACAAGCAAATCTTGAGTCACCTGATCCCTCTTAAGTTCTCAGAGATTAGCGATGTCTCTGTTTATAAATTCTAAAGTCAAATTTGATTTCTGCACAAAATGAATTACCTTCACTTTCACAATTTTAATGTAATACGCAACGTAGTTTAAACGAAAATGGGTTTTTCCTTGGAGTTGAAGAGTTTCACTAAATAAAGGACCCGTGTGCAATACCTTGAATGTCTAAATAATGGATTTGAATTGTACACCTCTTTTATAACAAATTTTGATGAAAAAAATCTGGAATTTGTTTTATAAGTTTTGTACATTTTTCTTTGAATAATGCAACCATTTTCATGATTATTTTTATCAAAACCCCTGGTGCATTGTAACATGCTGATTTTCTGTCTAAAAACAAGTAATGGAGTTATAAGTTTAAATTTAGAATACCGATATCTTGAAAACTTATCAGTAGGTAACGTACCTTGCATATGTCCTTGAGTACGAGAATTAGTGCTTCTTTCAATTTCTTATAATATAATATCGTTTGCACTTAAGGGTTAATGAAAACTTAATACATCTAAAACTATGCTGAATTGAAAATAATTTTGTATTATCATGTATTATGCCTATAATCTTGACGGAAGCCCGCTACAAAATGGCCTTCGTAAGTAACAGACAACTCTGCATTTTCTTTACCTCAAAAACTGTTTATGGACAGTACAGTTGAGTTCACACTTATATTAATTTTGTTCTTCAGTTTACATGTATAGGTACCTGAAGACGAAAAAAGGCGATGGCGGCGAAAAGGAGAAAATGGATTTTTTTGTAAGTAAAAAGATTGTTTTTTGTTATTTTAAGATGGATAAATAGATTACCATTACTATGTGTCTAACACCATTTCTTCCAGCCAGTATATAAGGATTCATAAATTTTCGAATGTACAAGTGAAGGGTAAGGCTAAATTTGTTCAAGTTGATTCGATAAACAAATGGATTTTTAATTTTTTGTTTCAACAACCGTCAGTAGAAGAAACAATATTACTGATAAAACTTATTTATGTGTTTATTTTAATTATTTTTCTTTTTGAATTCAGTGTTACAGTGCAAAATGTAATAACAACGCGAAATGTAATAAACCTCGATTATCACATTTTGCGTTATTACATTACATCAACGGAAAATTTAATATCACAAAAAGTAACAAGACACTTTTAAGGATTATTACGTTTCGCGTCATTACATTTTGCGTAGATATCAACGCAAATTGTAAAAACGCAAAATATAATAACACAATTATAGGCTTTCGTTTCCGGATAAAGGCTCAGAGACCACTAGAGCTGGAGCAGAAATTTTACTTGTTTTAGATAACAGAAGGATTGAAGTTGTGCTCAAGGGTTTTTTTTTCGATTTCTGCATTCAAAATGGCGCTATCGGGTAAAAAATTAGAACGCCTAAAAGAGCGAAAATTTACAGATATTTTCCTTTTTATCTTGAAAACTAAAAATATTTTGTTAAAATATGTAGAATAAAAGTTGTGCATAATTACAAGCGCTTTCATTTGATATCATTGAAAAGGGGCTGGCCCCTAAAATAAGGGATCTAGGGCCCTTGGAAGTTTTTGTTTAATATCTAAAAAAATATTAAGAATTTATAATACGTCAAATAAGCCAAGTTGTTCAAAATGTCAAGCTTTATTTAATGAGGTTGGCAAAATACGTCCTGGAACGTTACTTCCGGTCAAACCGGGAGTAGTCAAAAATTGCATATTTTTGTTGTTCTTGACAGGTTTTTGGATATCATATGTCACTGGAAGCTTAAATCCTAATTTTCCGTCCGTTGACGGTACTTCTGGTCAAACCGGAAGTTGCCAAAAATAGCTTGATTTTGCAAAAATGAACATAGATTTTGAGGATTAAACCATTTTTCGACTTCATTACTCTTTTTGTTTCAAATGAAAGTTACTTCCGGTAAAACAGGACGGAAGACCTACTCGTTGCTTTGCAACGAGCTCGGCTCTAGTTTTATTTATGATTATAACCATCGATAACTAAGCCGGCATTTCTTCGATTTGTAACAAACTTCTCAATGCATGGTTACCATAATGTTTAGATGACGCTTGATAATTAAATTTCGGCTTCAGAGTTATTTATAATTATGTACTCGTTTTAATTAGATAGTGAGTAAATTCTGTTGATTAGAACTCATATACCGAACCATACCTGGCTAAGTCGGTATGTAGTTGTAATGAGTTGTTTTTGGCTGATTCAGTATGTAGCGGTAATTAGTTGTTTTTGCAGGGAAAATGTAGCGGTATAATGATCGGTCGAAAATCTGACAAAATGTATTGACAGTGTGCTTTTTTTTTGTTTTTTTTTAGACAAATGCAATGAATCTAAAAAAAAAACTATTTATTTGTACTGGCAGGTGTGAATGTAAAGCGGGAAGGGGTTTATTGACAAATGATACCATACTGTTCCATGAAAATCACCAGCATTGCAGACGAGCAAAAAAAAAACATTAATGCAATTATTAACATACAAAGTAAACACCCGACTCTATCCCTGCCCTTCACATACACGTCTAATTTGTTAACCAATGTATACATACATATCAAGAGATTTATTTTTGGTAATTAAATAAATTAAGTGTTATTGGTTAGAAATTTTATAAGACTATAAAAATAAGCCAATCAAAGTTAAATTAATTCTTTATAAATAAGTACAGTGAATTCAATATAACTAAAATCAGAGTCAGAAAAAACGATACTATTAGATGTATTTATGTCCTAAAAAACCCTAATATTGGTCTCAATGTTTTACTTTTAAATATTTTTACAGCGTGCGTGTTTCCCATGTTGGTAACATGTATATATTTAAGTGAATGAATGTTCTATTTTATTATACGCAATCAAATAATTAAATTATATTTGGTTTTATTACATATTGTGTTATTACACTTTGCGTTGTCTTCAGTGCAAAAATAAAAACTACGCAAAATGTAACAACGAAAAAGCACGTTATAACATTTTGCGTTGATCGCGACGCAAAATGTAATAACGCAAAATGTAAAAATTTACAAAGTATGTTATTATATTTTGCGGTATTACATTTTTGGTTGATCTCGACGCAAAATGTAATAATTGAGGTGAATTACATTTCGCGTTGAAACAATGCAGCTGTTCATGTTAAGAATTTTACAAAATGTTAAGTGTGTGTGTGACCTTCTTCCTGCATTTCTACATTGCTGGATCAGTAAACATGACTTCAACAGAAGAAGCCCATGGCCACATCGCTCACCTGAGCACTGTAGCTACGGAAAAAAGCAGAAATCAGTTTATTATTGTACACTTTAAACCAAAAGTATTCATAACAAATCCTTGAAAGGGGGAGGGCATGATTTGAACAAACTCTACACTAATTAAGGAAGCTGGAAAATGTATAAATATGTAATTACATCAATTGCATATTAATCACTAGGAATTGAAAATAATATCCTGCATTTTTCAATATTATATACAGCTTAAAACACTTTTTGAACTCACTTGGTTTTTGCACAAATTAATGTCACATTTTTCTTGCGATAAAATTTAAAATTATTGAGATTCAGTGCGCGGCATAAATCTTATATTGTTAAATATTTTATGCTAAAAGAGCCTATTCTCTAAAATCGTTATACAATGTATATCTTGGGTTTTAAAACTCCGTTTTTTAAAAGGGATATTTTTTAATTAATTGCATCATGTTTCTTAAGAAATTAACAACGTTTTTCAGTAAACATGGCGTTATGAAAAGCAATTGCTCTGCTGGCATAATCCATGTTGCGCGCTAGCACATTAACACTATGATGGAAAAAGACAAAATTTTGATAAAGATTATTACTCCAGAATGCTCTATATGGTGAATTTAAGTTCTTATATTTTCTTAGAACCGAAAAGCTTCTGAAAATAGATATTCTATTATACAGAAACGTTGCTTTTTGAAATGTTGAAACGCCCAAATGTGAAGAGTTATCGTTCTTTGAACAAAATGCGAAAATGAAAAATATAAAAGTATGGCAGTTCTCTTCAATTAAAAAAAAAAAGTTTTGTTATTCAATTCAAAATACTGACCAAAATAAAATTTTTAAAGATGTAAATAATCAATTTTAATTTATTCTGAATTTCTTTTTTTCCAAAGAATTTTATTAAAAACTAATATTTATTCCTTTTGCAAAACATTTCATATATATATATATATATATATATATATATATATATATATATATATATATATATATATATATATATATATGTGTGAAAAAAATGACAAGGCAACAATGTTAGTCAAACGTAAGCGCTTTTTTCATTATTTCTTCAGACGATTTACATTTCAAAACAATTCAAAAATATGACGTTATAACGTTACCTGTTGATAACGTCAACAACAATGCAATGACGTCACAATGCTTATAGAGGAACGTATTATAGAGTCAAAGTAAAATAACATGATTCATAGCTTAATAAATAATAAAGTCATGAGACAGCCTATATCAAACTATTTAAGGATGGTTTTATAATCTTGATAAATTGTTTTTCTTTTTCCCGTCTTTCTAAAACGTTCTCTGTTTTGAGTTTATAAAAGGGATAAACTGTGAATTGTCCCTGTCCACAAACAGCAAGATGTTCACTGAGTTTTATTTTTCTGTACTCGGGTTGGTTGATATGCTGTCTGTGTATACGTACATACGAGTGCGTAGGGCAGTCCCGGTTTCTCTATGTATAATTCTCTGCATCCGGCGGATGTATACAATTAGTGAGGTTTTTTGATGCACAGGTCATATCTGCATGCAGTAAAAATAAATTTCAGAAAAATAAAACTCAGTGAACATCTTGCTGTTTGTGGACAAGGACAATTCACAATTTATCCATTTTATAAACGTTACGTCATCAATTTTAATTTCGCGCCATTTTGTCCTCTTGTTGGAGAAAACAATAAATTTACCATTCTGAAAAAAATATCAAGAAAACGGGTAATTCATTTTTCTTTTTCTTTAATTAGAAGACCTTAACAATATATTCTAATTTGAAAGAAATAACCGACTTTAAATCGCTTCCACATAAGAAATTGAAAGGGTTTATTGAATACATGACACATAATTTTAAAATATCCACAAAGAGACAAAGGAATTTAACTGAGGAATGTTTTTAAGTTTTGTGTGAGTAATTGGTAGCAATGCCCAAGCAAGGGGGAGATAACTTTCCAGATTTCCTCAGCCTCGTTTTGATTCCGTATCAAAAAAGAGCTTGAAAAGTACGGCTAAATACACTACTTTCTCTCGTGTTTTCAAACGTTTTGATGACTTTTCTGTGAAGTTTGAGATGCCCCCCTAGCATTACCAACCCTGAATGTTTGAAGTATGGCGCGATTTGTCGTTTTAAAAATAGATTTAAAATTTAAAAAATCTCTAATTGAGTACAGTGTCAAAACATTCAAAAATAGTTTCTTCTGATATACCACTACAAATGCATATCACTTACAGGCAAGAATTTAACCGTTCTTGTTCGCCACACGAATTTTCTAAGGCGTACTGGAGCAAATTCGGATTGTAGCAGCCAGCAAACACGTGTGTAGAAAAAATGTACACAACGTGATTTGAACGTATGATGGTCTGTTTACTTCATTGTCAAGATGATTCAATGTTATATTCTTGTTTTTGAATTATCCTAAAGCATTTTAATAATGAAATTCCGTTCAAAGGCTATTTCGTGCGCGAAAACGAAAGTAGGGTTCATCTCAAAGTGAACAAGAATAAATTTCAAGATTGACTTGCATTGGTGAAGAAAACAGT